GCTATCCTGTGAAGATATGATTTTGGATAATACAATCATGTTTTATCTTACATATGCTGTAATTTGTCTTTTTCACATTAAAGGAGAAAAAACCGCTATGCTCTTTCCCATTCCCAAATGATTCCATAAATCAGAATAAATCATTCAAAATTGAAAGAAGACAGATTTTATTTGCAGAAGTGTCTTCTCACGGGCCTCTACTTAATTCCTGTAGTAAGTAATTTCTGTATCTTTTAAATGGGACTTTCTCTATCTTTGAATTAATGTTTTAACATACACCGTCGGTTCTTGTGGTACGTTAATAGCCCATTTGCTTTAGAACCACTGTAGCAGACTTGCTGCTATTTATGGTTTTCTCTGTAACCAACGGTCAGGTCACCTATGGGACACCAGTGATAGATTCCCAGAGAACTCAGTGCCAGGCCAGTGACACGGCACCGTCCTCTCCCGAAGTAAACCAGTTACAAGGGTCTGGGGTGGGGGCCGAGGACTGCATTTAGCCACGTTCAGTGTACATCATGGAAAGGCGACTAACAGAGATCGCTGTGCTGGTAGCACGGTCTCTGCACACAGGTTTACAAACCTCAGCCCAAAGTAAAACAGAGAAAAAAGAACGGAAACGTAAGATGACAAAAAAGTGTTTCCTCACATCTCCAGCTCCCATGAAACTGATCCAGGTCAGCTTTGGAGAAGCACTGATAAGTACGTGAGCTACTAAAAACTTTAAAAGTAAAAGAGGAGGAAATCAACAGTTGATCCCAAGCTGGCCCTGGTGGTTCATGCCTGATATCCCAGCACTCTGGGAGGCTGAGGCAGGAAGATCACAAGTTTGATCCAAGCCTGGGTGAGTTACTGACTTCTCAAGAAATAAGGGCTAGAGATACAGCTCAGTGCAAAGGCCCTGGGTTCCATTCCCAGTACCAGAAAGAAAACTGATCCGGATACTTCTACAAAAACTTCAGGCCCCAATCAGGGGATCGTAGCAGCTCTGGCCAGGGCTCCGGGGAGGAGCAGAGGGCAGCGCAGGTACCCACAGGCTTCACCCAGGACTCTCAGCTTTCCGGGAGACCGGAGGTCTGGGAAGCAGGACAGGGTAGGCAGCTGATGCAGGGCCACCCAGAGCAGAGCCAACTCCCACAAAGGACACTGCCCAGGGCCACAGTCTGCTCGGCGAGGCCCTGTGCCTCCCCAGCTCAGTGGCAGTGGCCCAGCTCAGGTGACCACAGTGTTCCTGAGACGGCAAAATGGTGGCTGCCTGGGCCTTCCTGAATCCCATCCCAGGGTTTGGACACCTCTCATGCAGTCTTCAACCTAGGCAACAGGTCATGGGGCACAGGTCACCCTGAGCTGAGGCCTTGGACAGAGCAGTCACCTCTTGGTCACAGAGCATTAACCACTGATCACCAGGACCATGCAATCTATGCCTTTGGTGTGGGCTTAACTCTCCCCACTTCTCAAGAATTGCTCCCGAACTGAGGACCAAGCCCAGCGCCTTCATACCCAGTCCCCAACCCCAGGGTGGGCTCAACTCGTGATCCTCCTGCCTCAGCCTCCGAGTATAGGGATGGATCAGAGGTACGCACTTCTCCTCTGAAATTGGGAGTTGAGTTCCCTTCCGGCCACAGATGTGAACAAGCGAGCTGGAGCCTGGCCCAGCAGGCCATGTGGGGAGCTGTGGGGAGCGGGTGGGGATGTGTTCTATGTATTTTACCTTTATTATTTTCCACCGCTAGGGATTAAAGCCAGGGCCTTTTCACTGAGCTACGTCCCCAGACCTTTTTGTTTGCCTTACTTTTTATTTTCCGGCCGGGCCGAGTCTCACTAAGTCACTAAGCGGCCCCGGCTGGGCTCCCACTACCCTCCTGCCTCAGCCTCCCCGAGTGCCGACTGCACAGCGTGCACTGGCTGTGTCTGCTGTGTGCTCTTCCTGTTTCCTCCCCCCAGCACTGGGGCACACTCGAGTGGCAGGGAAGTCTGTCTCCGGGTGGGCTCAGGAGTGCGGTCCTGTGTGGAGGCCCCCTGCAGAGTCCTGCTCTTGCTCAGTCCAGGTGGGGTTCAGGGAGTAGGGTGAGGAAAGCCCCCCTGCTTCCTGCAGCCACCATGGGTCAGTCCTGGGGGGCTGCTGCCCCTTCACTAATGTCTTCTGGAAGACGAGTATCCTCACACAGGTATGACAAAGGCTGTGTCCATGTGGACGCCATGCCCGCAGTCTTGGCACTGAAGGAGGCTGAGGCAGGAAGATACCAAATCCAAGCCCAGCCCAGGCCAACTCAGTGAGACACAAGTCTCAAGATAAAAATGAATAAAAATACAAATAAGGCTGGGTGTGCAGCTCAGTGCAAAGGCTCTGGCTTCGGTCCCCAGGAGAGGGAGGAGGGAGGAGAGCGACCGAGAGAGACAGAAAGCGCACGTGCATCTGGTCATTAAGGAACCCCGTTCCTCCTCAGCCCCCAGCCCAGCGCCAGGTAAGAGGCCCGGCCAGCAGGCGGCAGAGCAGCTGTGCCAAGTCACATATCCCGCTCCCCAGAGGCCCCTGGCACTAAGCAGCTCAATGTGCAGGGGCAGCCTGGGGCCCTGGGCAGCACATCGGGGCAGGTTTCTGGGAGCCTGGGCTGTGTGGGCCTGGCAGGTCCCCTGCTGCTGCTCAGGGGCCCAGAAACAGAGATTAACCCAAAAGCAGGGCAGTTCGAGCCTGGCCAGAGGCCCACAGCCTCTACCTTCTGCTCTGCACCCGCCTCCCTGGCCTGCACCTGGCAAGCCCCTAGCATTGTCATTTGCTGTCTGCCTCTGGGGGCTACCTGACCACCCCTGTGCATTCCCAGGTGGCCAGGGGTCACCTGAGGCTGCCCACCCTCACCATCGGTGGAGGGTGCCCTGCCTGGCCTCGGTCGTGCCCATGCTGGACACTGCCAGGCCACAGCAGCGCAGCCTGAGCACACGCATCACCTCCTGCATGCAATGCAGTCTGGGGCTGCCCCACAGTGACTCCACAGAGAAAATGAAAAAAGCCTGGGGATTACACAGGACAGAAGGTGCAGGCTGCTCCCGTCAGGGCACAGCTGGTGCAAACAGTAAGGGCGCAGCCCACACCTCTGGGCGCCCTCGCAAGGCTGCACAGAGCCTTAGGGAGCAGGGGCCACAGGCCACGGAGATAGCCAAGCTTCCCAGGCACCTGGGCCTCCTCTGCCTGAAGTGCATTCCCTGGCCTGAAGATCCAGGCCTGTTCCTGGAGGGTCACTGTCCTAGGATGTTACTCTCTGGGCCAGGTGACCCTTTTATCACTTTGCTTGGCACAAAATACCTCCAGCCTGCAGCTCAAGAGGGCAGAGGGTGATTCTGGCTCACCATCAGTCCAGGGCACAAGTGTCAAGGCACGGGGGTGGCCCAGTGGTGGAGAGCTGCTCACTTCGGGGTGGCCCAGAAAGGGATCTGCACCCGTTCGGACCATGCCCCAGGGAAGCCCTCTCCCAGCCCGACCTAACACTTAGCACCTGTTCGATGCCCCAGTCCTTGAACAGTGTCACTCACTGACTCGGTGACCCCCTCGGTCAATGCTTCCACATTGATTCTCCTCTCACCACCTCTCATTCCCACCCGCTCACACTGCTGCACCCGGAGTTTCTGTACACTGCAGGAAACCGGGCCACGTGTTCCCCTCTGCTGATCTGTCTTCTGGCTGGCATAATTGGATCACTTACAGCTAATGTAATGATGTGTTAAGGTAAAAATGTGTCTTTTTACTGATTTATCTGACGTGTCTCAGTTTTGTTTTCTGGCTTCTACCATCTTGCCTTTCTGTGTGTTGCTAAAATCTTTTCAAACAGATCCTATCTTGATTTATTCAGTGCAATTACACTCATCTGTTTGTATAGTTTTTGTACTAGCTCGTCTGGTTATTTTATTTTATTTTTTGGTCTTTTTCGTTTTTATCGGTACCAGGGATCGAACTCACGACTGCCTGCTTGCAAGGCAGGTGCTTATGCCTCTGAGCTAAATCCCCAGCCTCCTCTGGTCTGGTTATTAAAATATGCAATTTATCACATCTTCTGGTATCAATGATGTCTGTTTTATGACAAGGCCTCAAACTCATAGTGATTGTCCTGCCTCAGCCTCCCGGGTGCTGAGATTACAGGCATGTGCCGCCATGCCTGGTCTGGTGTCAACATTTTACATATTGAGTTTATAACAGCTAGCTCCCCAGCATCTACCCTGGTTGCCTCTGAGATTTTGCCTTAGTTATCAGGCATTTACCTTTCTCATTATGATTGCTTTTTACGGTTGTTCCTGATTGGAGTTTATTCAGCTTCTTGAACCTGAAGATCTGTGCCCTCTGGGCAAGGTTCAGCCATGACTACCTCAGCTGCTTCTCCACAGCTGTCTCTTTCGCCCTTCCTCTAATCCAGCACCTGGCGACAGTGTCTGTCATTACTGTCCTTGTGGTTGCTCATTTTTCAAGTTGATCTTTGGCACACCATGGTGGCCCACGCCTACTCTCCCAGCACTCCAGGAGGCTGAGTCAGGAGGTCTGCTGCATGAGCCCAGATTGGGCCAATCAGCAGACCCTGTCTCAAAATTTAAAAGTGGGGCGGGGACCTTAGGGATGAGATTCAGTGTGAGACAACTCTGGGTTCACGCCCCAGGGACCAAAAAAAAAAAAAAGCTGATTTTCTCTGCATGGCTTCTTCTTGAATGTATCCTTCGAAGGTCTCAGAGCTGTGATCTTTAATCTACGTTCACCCCCGGCCTGGAGATGGCACCCTGGGCCCTCAGACCGAGCCACATCCCCAGATCTTTTTCATTTCTTGAGACAGTTCTGCTAAACTGCTCAGGCTGGCTTGATCTTCCTGCTTCAGCTTCCTAACATGTGGTGGGGTAGGCAGATGTGCACCATCACGCCCGGCTCTGACGCTAACATCAACCCTGAGTACAAAGCACGGTAATCCGCGAGCCCAGACACTGACCGTGAGCGCGCAGGCGCACACACAGCGCCACTCCGCGGGGCTTGCAAAGCTCAGCATCTTTATTTACTCTGGGCAGAGGTGACATCGCAGAGCAGAGCTAGTGATGAGTGATGATACAAAGGCCTTTGCATAGCAGGCAGGAGGTGGCGCCGGGCTTCCCCGGCCACAGCGCCACCAAGGGACGCACGGGAGCAGGCGCGGGTCCACTTCTCTGACTTCCCGAGGGCGGGAGACAAAGGCTGACTTTGGCACTGAATCGAGGCACTTGCATGGGGGTGGAGGGGTTAGGCAGAGCCCATCCTGCTCGCTGGCCGCGACCCGCCCACTGCTTAGTCCCTGCGCTGCTTGCGGTAGGGGGATGGGGCATGTCTCCGCCTGGGCACCTTGGAGGCCCAGCTCTGCTCTGGGTCCCTCTGGGGTTGCCTCGAGAAGGGGTCCCCAGGGTCCAGGGCTCAGAGCCTGCGCACTGCACAGACCAGCGCTCAGCCCCTGCAGCACTGGTCACTGGTGCGCCACAACAGTGGCAGTGTTATAAATAATTTGGCATATGTAAAATATAAATTACATAGAAATGGCGTATTTTTTTTTTTTTTTTTTGCTTCCATCTCATTTCTTCTCTCAGGGTCCTCCTGGTGCTCCCCAGCTCAGCTCACAGAACGGGAATGGCACCGTGGAGCCAAGGCATGTGCGGGGGCAACTCTGCCATCTCACACTCCTCCAGGATGCAAGAAGGCTGCTACTGCCCCGGTTCTTACTGCCCACAGCCCACACAGTCCAGTCGTTTGTGTCCTTCTTGTGTTCCAGAAGGGCCTGACCCACACAGACCTTCATCAGTTAGATCCTCCTTTCTGTTCCTCAGCGGTGAGCACAGACTGAAGCGAAGGAGTGGCCCAGGGGTTGCTGGATAGCATTGCTTCTGCCGATATAAGGCGAGGGCTTCTTCCTTGGTGCCCTCCTTGCCGGGTGTTGGGGCAGGCACAGCCTGTGCGCTGCGCATGCCCGCTGGGCTGCAGGGCCACGATGTCCCTGGTGCCACCCTCCTCCCTCCTCCACGCTGTGCTCGCCTCGGCTCAGATCTTCCGGGGAGAGCCGATCATGACCTTGGACACGAAGTTGACGATGGCACTGGCGGGCTGCTCGGGGTCGTGCTCCGCGAATAGGTGGCACACGTTGTCCGTGGCACTGCCCTGCTTCCGGGCCACGAACCCGAAGACTCTGTGGGGGAAAGTGGAGGTTGGAGCGCGGGGTCAGACGACCTCGGCCTCAGTGCAGCCAGAGAGGAGGTCTCACCTGCGCGCAGCGGGGGACCCTTGGCACCGGCACTGCACGCAGCCCGCAGACTCCCAAGGTGCTGCCCCGCGCTTCCCGCCCTGCCCGACTGGGACGTCCCCCCTGCGCTGGGGCAGGAGGACGCAGTCAGCGACGTCGTTGGCCAAGCCTGGGGGGCCGGCTGTGTCCAGGGCAGGAAGCAGTAGAAAAAGGACAGTTGCACCAGCCGAGTTGATGCAGGCCTGAAATTCTGGCACTCTGGGAGGCCGAGGCAGGAGGATACCAAGTTTGAGTGCAGCCTGGGTAATTTTAATTTACTTGCTTCTTTTTTTTTTTTTTTGTCTTTTTCCTTTTTATCGGTACTGGGGATCGAACTCACGACTGCCTGCTTGCAAGGCAGGCGCTTATGCTGCTGAGCTAAATCCCCAGCCCCTGCTTCTTTGTTTTTTTAAAGCAAGGTCTCACTCTGTAGCCCAGGCTGGCTCTGAACTCCTGATGATCGTCCTGCCTCAGCCTCCCTCCCGAGTGCTAGGATTACAGTGTACACCACCACGCCTGGCAGCCTGGCAGCAGAAACGGTGTCTCAAAATTTCCAAAAGGTGGTGGTGGAGGGGGGGTGCAGGGTTGGTCCCCAGCAGCACCAGATAAACAAACAGCCCAAGCACCTCGTTTTAAGAGCTGAAGCCCTGGCCTCGATGGGCTTTTCTGAGGGCAAACCGCACATGCTGCCAGGTGTTCTCCGCACCCCAGGCGCTGGGCGCTGGCCAAGGTCTCCCTTCTAAGAAATGAAGGCCCTTTTGTTCCGCTTCCCCGATTCCACACCAGCGATTCCCCATCATCGAGGGGGACGCAGACCCGACTCCGAGCAGATCAAAGTCCAGCGTGGCAGTCAGAGGGCAAGGCATGCACAGAGCCCAGGCCTCCACTCATCCTGCCCTGCAGTGCGGAAGGAGCCAGGAGGAGGCGGGGAGCTCGTACCAGGCTTGGGCCTGGACCACGTGGAGAGCCCAGGTTGGGGCTGCCTTCAGGGGGTTTCGAGGCCCCCATACAGTTTAAAAGCAAGCAAGGGCTTGGCGTGGTGGCCCTTGGAAGGCTGAGGCAGGAAGATCGCTATGAATTCAAGACCAGCCTGAACTGCACAGTGAGCCGGGGTCTCAAAAAAACCTGAAGATAACAAAACAAAAAAGCTAAGCAGCCCACCAATAGACCGGAAAAACCAAGTTGTCTCCTGGAGGGAAAGCCTCTGGGAATCCTGTGTGAAGGGGGACTGAGAACAGTGCAGAGGGCACGGCGCAACTCACCTGCAGGAGGGGCCGTCTTTGGTCCACCTTGGGAATCAGAGAAAAGAAAGGAGTTAACTTTGTAGATGAGAGTCCAATGCAAACACCCCAGAAAAGACGGAATTCTTACTTCCTGTCCTGAGGGTCCAAAGCGCAGAAAATCACGCTGCTCACAGGGTAGTGTCGCCGGAAGAAGAGCCTATGGATGGGAGGAGAATTATGGGGGCCGGAGCAGGGGCCCTGCCTGCTCCCCAGGGAGGCCTCGGAGTAAAGAGCTCTCTGGCCCTGGAAGATGGGGTGACGTCAAGGAGCCCCAAGGGGCTGGGCGTGGTGGCTCACAGCTGTCATCCCAGCACTCTGGGAGGCTGAGGCAGGAGGACCACAAGTTGGAGCCCAGCCTGGGAAACTTAGAAAGATTCTGTCTCAGAAGTAAAACCTAGAAAGGGCTGAGGTGCAGCTCATTACAGAGCCTTGGGTTTAACCCAAGACTGAAAAAGAAAAAGAAAAGGCTCCCTGAGGGACTGGGGTGGCTGGTAGACATCTCAACAGGCCCCGAATGGAGGTCTCTGACCGCCTCCAAGCTGTAGTTGCCAGTGAGGAGGCATCACAGGTCCCACCACCCCAAGAAGGATGCCCCTGGGTGCCACAGGCAGCCGTGACAGTGATGGTGGGGCCCACACTGAGTGGTCCAGCTCGAGGCAGTTTGGTGCCAAGTTTGAAAACTGAAGGTCAGAACCTCTTTAGAGTCCCTCTTGGGAGAGGGGTAGAACCTAGCTGTCCGAAGTGCCCCCACAAGTCCTGCCCCTGCACTGGTTTGAACACTGAAAGGCTGAGCACAAAACCCACCCGAGCGCCTTTCATCCTCTGCCTGCAGCCTCCAGCAGTGTGAGGAGGGGAAGAAAGCGCCTACTTCAGGGCCAGGGCTGGGGTAAGGACCGCAGCATAGGGGATCAGGCTGGGTGGGGAGTGAGCAGAGCCCTGGGCTGGTCCTTCACCAGTGGGACTAAGTCGCCCAGGCTGGGCTCCATCCTCCTTGAGACCCTGCTGCTTCAGCCTCCCACAGTGCTAGGTTGTCAGGTTTGCACCACTGCACCAGACTTGATCTTTAAAAACAATGTGTTCATTCGTAGAAACAGGTGTCCAGGACAGATGTTCCGGGGGAGCCCCAGAGACTAGGTGAACGCCCAAGGCTGGGTTAGGCCACCTCACAGGTGGCTCAGGGTCACCGACGCTCCACTCACTTCCTCTGATTGTCCGTCAGGGTAATCCCCTGTGCTGAAACCTTGAAGTGCACCACGGTGGACTCGGGCGGCGGCTCCTGCACCAGCGTCACGCTCAGCGCCTTCTGTACTGCCTGGTGGCCGGTCAGGGACTCCATCTCCACGGAGTTCAAGTACCACACGTTGCAGGCTGAGAACAAGGGCAGGCGTCAGCCACGCCGCCGGGGACAGGGGCTCGGCCCGCGCACGCCCTGGGTTAGTTGTTTTGACACTGGGTCTGGATGTGTACCAGGCAGGCTGGCTTCAGACTTGCAGTGCCCTCCCGCCTCAGCCTCCTGAGTGCTCACTTTGAAAGGCTGGCGCCCTGCTCTTCGGTGAGCACACAGGTGAGCATGCTGGTGAGCGTCACCAGGATGAGGAAGGAAGGCGGACTGGGACCTGCAGCGCCACCCTTGACCATTTTCCAACCGGGAGGGTCCTGTCCAGGAGGGTGGGACACACAGACCCCTGGGAGGTGAGGGCTCAGAGCCCGGGGCACCGCACAATGCTATGCCAGGCCAGGGTGGGTTCAGCTCAGGGCAGAGCACCTGCCTGACCCGCCCCAGACCCGGTTCCATCCCTAGCACCACAAAAAGAGCAGAACAAACAAAAAGCACCCAGACTTCCTGAAGTAGCCGCACACACAGGGCTTCACCTGCTACACGGATTTCCGTCCACACATGCTGGCCAACTTCCCTTTACCCTCAGAAAAATAGCTCAGTATTTAAGTGCCAAAATCCAGCTAGGTGTGGAGGCACTGGGGAGGCTGAGGCAGGAGGCTCACTCTGCCTTTGAAGCCAGCCTGAGCTATGGAATGAGAAGCCCCAGTCTAAAAAAACCAAAACTGAACAAAAACAGCCTGGAAAACCCCGGAAGTAACCTAGAGGTCCCACTTCCGGGAAGACTGGAAGGGCAGCTCTCGTGGCTGTGGGGAGAGGGGACACAGCACAGTGTGTCACACTCTGTCAGTGTGACAGAGGATGCTGGGGACCTGGCAAGGGAGATGGGAAAGGTTCCGTGCCATCTCCACGGCAGTCTTAGAAACCCCAGAGCAGGCAGCGTGGAAGCACTCAGCAGGTAACTGGGCGGGCGGAGTGCAAGTGTCCAGGCTGTGGTTAGAAGGAAGACAAGGAATCCAGGCTTCGCTGAGAGCTGGAAGGCAGTGGGGGACACGGGGTGGGGGTGGGGGACAGCGGGGCTGTCATGACACACAAACTGCAGCTCATGGCCCAAACAAGGTGCGCACCAACTGTGGGGCGGGTGACGCGGAGACCGTGCTCCTCTGGGACCGCCGCACCGTGACACCGAGAGGAAACTCAGGCGGTCTTGACACTGAAGCAGTTATAAGGCAAATCTCCTACCAGAGTGACTGGCCCGGGTACTGCACAGGACCGCACGCTTCTGAACCAAGTCTTAGCTCTAAGAAGCCTCGCTTTAAAACAAACATTTAAACAGGGCGTGGTGGTCCCCATCTGCAATCCCAGCCCTCTGGAAGGCTAAGGCAGGAGGATTGCAAGTCTGTGACCAGCCTGGGCAACTGGGCCACTTTTCAAAAAAAAGCTGGGGATGTAGCTCACTGAAAAGGCCCTGGGTTCAATTCCTAGTACTGGCAGAACAAAATTAATACACATGCTATTTAAAGAGCTCGAAAAGTGTCCCTAAAAATGATGCCTCGGAGTAGGAGACAGAGTGCTTTAATTTCCAAAATTAAGGCCGCCAGAGCACTTCATTCTGACTGACGGCTTCACTCACCCATGCAGTAATCCAACATTTATTGGATCAAGGCTGGACGAGAAGGAGCTTAGGAGGAAAGCGAGACGCCGCCTGTGACACGAGATTCTCAACCCACACAGCGAAGGCCGAGAGCTGTGGCTTTGGCACTGCCGCTGGGAACCGCATGCCAGAGCTGTGTCCCCAAGATTCAGCTGCCCGGAGACCAAGGTAAGGCCCAGCCGCCTGTGTCTCTCGGGACCGAGCAGCTCGGTGGGGCACTGGCCTGTGAAGGGGAGGAGGGGACCCCACCCACAGTGGGGTGTCCCCAAAGTCTGTCCACCCAAATTATGCTGATACAAGAGGCAGTTTTCAAAATTACAGGCACAGCTGAAGAGTGGTCTGCGAATCTTGGGCCATCTCCTAGGCCAGGGGTGTGTGTGACGCCCCACAGAGCGACCCAGATTGAGGCTCCACACGCCCTAGACACCTTGCTGGGGTCAGGGACACCAGGCCAGGCCAATCTCTAAGGACAGTGGGGGATTTCTTGTCTAAACTCGACTGGAACTAGAAATTCCCTCCCCAGCATTTCTGACGGTAGAAGCTGCCCGTGTGAACAGTGTTCAGTGGGAAGGCATTGGGGTTCAAAACCAGAAAGACCCAGCGCCTTCTCCATCCGTGTCCTGACCACACATCTCCGGGGTCACCTAGTTTGTCCACAGAGTGGCTGTTTTCCCGTCTCCTCCACAGGTTCAGGGCAAGCCCAGTCAACCCTGCTTTGAGACAGGGTTTCTCCATGTAGCCCAGGTTCGCCCCCAACTCAGCATCTTCCTGCCTCAGCCTCCGACTGCTGGAATCACAGGCATGCAGCACCATGCCTGCCTAAAATCTTAGCAGATTGGCAGATATTGACAAACTGATTCTAAACTGTATATGGAAAAATAAAGACCCAGAAAACACACACACAATACAGAAAACAACTCCAAGAGAGACACAACCTAACTTTAAGATTTACCCTGAGGTTACAGTAATCTAACCAGTGAAACAGTTAAAAAAAACCAGACAAATCTTAATGGAACAAAATATGGAGACTGACTCAGAAGTACAGTCAACTACCCCCTAGAGAAAAGTCTTTTCAATAAATTGTGTTAGAGTAACTGGATATCCATTTGCAAAGAAAAATAACCTAAACCCGGGCCTAGCACCCTTCAGGAAAATCTAACTCAGAATAGGTCAGAGGCCAACATGTAAACTGTGAAAGTATTAAAGTCCCTGAAGAAAATGAAGGAGAAAAAAATCTAGGTGAACTTGGGTTTGGTGATGACATTTTAGACAAGACACCAAAAGCTGAATTGTAGTATTTTTTAAAAATATTCCAAGAGATACCATCCGAGAGTGAAAAGATGAGCCATGGACTGGGAGAAAACTTTTACAAAACACAAATCAACCAAAAAGAGCATTATCCCAACTACGCAGTGAGAATTTTAAAAGCCCTCATACTTCACCAGGAAGACACCCAGACAGCCAAGGGGTACAGGAAGAGGGGCCCTGCGTCCTGAGACCCTGGGGAAATACAGGACCCACAGTGCTCCCTGGGACAGTACCCAGCCCCTGCAGGGCTGTGGGGCAGTCACTCTGCAAATGGTTCACATAAACAAATACCTGGCCGACCGACAAACAAATAAAAAAAAAAATATTGGAGCATCCAGACGGAATGCCATCCTACATGGGAAAGAAACGAGCCCTCCAACCAGGAAAGGGCACAGAGGAGATTTCCATGCACATTGCTGTGTGGAGAAGCCAGATGGAAAATGTCCGGGTGATATGATTCTGCCCGGAGAACTCCTGGACAAGGCCAAAGGGTGGGCACAGTGAAAGCTCAGTCACCACCAGGGGCCTAGGTACGGGGACGGCTGGCGTGGAGGGAGGCTCAGGGCCTGGAAACGGCAGCCCCACCCTGGGGACCTCAGGGTGCCCCATGTCGAGCAGCTCATGAACAGTGCGGCCGTCCCCATGGGTGGCCACGCTGACCTGCGTGCGAGGCGTCTCCCTGCCACCCTCAGTCCTTCTGTGAAGAGCCAGGGCTATAAATAAAATGCTCCATGCCACAGCCTGGCCTGGGAGCCCGGGCTTGGGGGCACCGTGGGTCCCAGCACTGACTCACAGTGAGCGACGGCTGAGTCACCACAGCTGCCGCAGCAACACGGGTCACTCACACCCTGTCTCACCTGTTGGGAGCCGCGTCTGTGATAGCTCGCCTTGCGCGGCGGACGTGCGGCCTGTGGTAAAGAGCAAAGCCTGAGGTAGATTACCCCTCCCATCGAGCACGTTAGTTTCCTGCTTACCGCGTAAGCAACCCGCTCAACAATATAGTCTGCCTGGCAACTGATGATGTTAGCCAATCAGCTTGCCTTGCTTACTTTAACATGATTGGACACTGTATCCGTATATATACTGGTGCCACCCCTGGGGGGGAAGAAGCCAGGTAGAAGCCCAGAAGTAAAAGCCCAAAAGGAGCCGCGGAGAGCGGACCGATAGAGGCTTTGGGGCAGACTGAAGCACAAAAGGAGCCGCGGGGAGCGGACCAGAGGAGGCTTCAGCTGGGAGCGATCCCAGGGCAGGCTGTACGGAGAAGGAAAATAAAAAGAAAAGGTTGTCCACTACCAGACTTTGTCGTGTGTCCTTCCTGCCGGCCGGGAGCGGACATCGACATTTGGAGGCCCGCCCGGGGACTGATCACCCCCGAGACGTGGAAGTGGACAACGCTCCAGTACAGAGCTGCGAGACAGGTGAGTTGGGGATAAGCCTGGGCTCTGGGTGGCGCGCACCTACAGGGCTTTTAGACTCCCCTCAGGCTCACGCGTAAGTGGCGGATTCCTTGGGCCTCACGCGGTGAGTAACATATTAAAAGATGGGAAACATGTTAGGTAGCAACACTAAGAGCGAGGGTGGTTGTGGAGAAAGCTCTCAAGAGCTTACAAAAGTACGCAGGGTATCTGAGCAGGCCCAGTCGGGGAGCTCCCGAGAGGGGTCCGTCAAGGGGAACAAGGATGCTAAGGAGGAGGACGGGGCTCTAGCCTCGGAGTCGTCTGACTCCGAGGACGAGGGAAAGTTGAATGGCAAGGAGGCCAAAGAGACCAGCTGTCAGGAGCCTAAATCGCTCAATAAGGAGTCGCAGGGTTCTTTTCCAGCGTTGCCCCGCGAATTGCGCTCTGCTCAACCTGGTCTGCGGAGGAGTAGAGAGCTCCTGATCGCTCCTCGGCGCGAGAGGGAGGCGATTCCTCGCCACGAGGCGGCCGCCTGGGAGCTCTCTCCCCTTTCACCAGAACAGGAAGTGATGCACGGGCCCCCATTTTCCGCCCAATCACGGCCGCTGTCTTATGCTCCGCCGCCGGCGGGTCGGTATTTTTACAGGCGGCTTTGGCAGGGGGGACGCTTGTCTCATGAGGTACATCCACCTGGGATAGATAGTGGCCCCTACGGGATATTTCCTGTGCAAGTAGCTATGGGCCAGGGACGCAATGCATGGGAGCCTTTTGAGATAAAGCAGATTAGAGAACTTAAAAATGCAGTTACAACCTTTGGGCCGACTGCGCCTTACACCATTGCCATGCTGGAGAATCTGTCTTCTGGGCCCCTCACCCCCGCGGACTGGATTCAGCTGGCAAAGGCGTGTCTGCCCTCGGGTAGTTACCTGGATTGGCGAGCCTGGTACACAGAGTTCTCTGCCGAGCAGGCTGAGAAAAACGCCGGTCGAGGAAATGGGAGCTGGGGATTTAGCTTAGCGGCATAAGCGCCTGCCTTGTAAGCAGGCAATCGCCAGTTCGATCCCTGGTACCAATAAAAAAAAAAAAAAAAAAAAAAAACAAAAAAAAAACGAAAAAGATAAAAATAAAAAATAAAAAACAAAAAGGGGGAGTAAGCCAAGGCCTGCCTCCAAAGGCGCGGTTATCTATGGCAGGACAATGGATGGGCCCGGATCCAGTGGTCAGCTGGAACCGAGGCGCGGTTTGTGTTTTCCCACAGGAACCGGGACGAGAACCACTGTGGATACCGGAGAGACTGACACGGGCAACAAAGCCCTCGACTGAAGATCAGACCTGCCCTACTGGAGATCCATCACAGACCAACCAATAAGATGAATAGAAATAGCGGTGGCCCGAAATGGACAAGAAGATCCTCAGGCATATGCATGGCTTGCTCAATCGGCCCACGACCGAGTCTAGATATGGCGGGCATCCCTCATTCTCCTCCATAAGGTGACAATACACAGCAGGGTAGGTGAGTCAATGACGGGTAAGAGCGTGCCTCCCCAGCACGACTCGACCTAAGCCAGGCCCTACCCCATCCTGCACGTAAGCCGCTGGACTGTTAGATGCTGCCCAGGTCTAAATTTCTCTCCGAGGGGATTTCTTTACGGAGAGGAAATGAGTGCAAGCTTGTGTGCATCCAGGTTCCGTCCAGTTTGTGCCTGGCCCTAGAAAAAGGACGAGGGCCTCAGGGCCTTGGCAGACCATGGCATGGCCAACCAGGGTCTAAGCCAAGGACCTACGGTGGGCCTACACATAGGGCAGAAGCCTCTGCACCCAGTCCAGGAAGGGCTACGATGCGCACATTCATAAAAAATAAAATAGGGGGAGATGTTGGGAGCCGCGTCTGTGATAGCTCGCCTTGCACGGCGGACGTGCGGCCTGTGGTAAAGAGCAAAGCCTGAGGTAGATTACCCCTCCCATCGAATATGTTAGTTTCCTGCTTACCGCGTAAACAACCCGCTTAACAATATAGTCTGCCTGGCAACTGATGATGTTAGCCAATCAGCTTGCCTTGCTTACTTTAACATGATTGGACACTGTACCCGTATATATACCGGTGCCACCCCTGGGCGGAAGAAGAAGCCAGGTAGAAGCCCAGAAGTAAAAGCCCAAAAGGAGCCGCGGAGAGCGGACCGGTAGAGGCTTTGGGGCAGACTGAAGCACAAAAGGAGCCGCGGGGAGCGGACCAGAGGAGGCTTCAGCTGGGAGAACCCAGGGCAGGCTGTACGGAGAAGGAAAATAAAAAGAAAAGGTTGTCCACTACCAGACTTTGTCGTGTGTCCTTCCTGCCGGCCGGGAGCGGACATCGACACTCACCCACTGACCCTGGCCTTCTTCAGTCAGCTGCTCAATGTTCCCAGCCTGGAAGGGTCTGTCGCATCCCAGCTCCAGCAGCTGTACCCTCTCACCTCTGCGCAAGTGTCTGTCCAAGGCGCCACCCTTCCCAGCCCGAGGGAGAGAGGGAGGCATAAGGCAGCAGGACACCCGACCCCTTCCTGTTCCAAGTCTGGGAACCAGGGACCCACCTGCGCCCTGCTTCAGCAGCTCAGCTGCAGAGTTGGCCGCCGTCTGGGGGGTGCTGTCCGCTACTTCCTCCAGGGGATCTGCAGGAAGGTGTGAAAAAGTACAGAAGTGAAGGCGCTCCGACCAACACAGTCAGGCAGCTTGTGATGGAATTCCCAGGGGTTAAAAGTTCCCTTGAGGACTGGGTCAGATCCCGGAAGTCAGGATGCCGAGGTCCCATAGGTGCTTTCCTGATCTTGAACTCATTCACACGAACAATTAAAGTGGAAAAGATGAACCAGCACTACCCGAGGTTTATTGAGAATATCCTTGGAATAAAACCAAACTGGGACAGCGTAACAAGGCAGGGACTTAGGGTCCACGCATTCCGATACCAAGCAGGTGTGACCTTCTCAACGCGTGCCCTTGGTGCCTACTCCCAGAGGACCCTGGCAGCAGCTTACACCCCTCATCACCTCAGCCAATAGGGTCAATGTTTTTGAACTGCAGATGTTTAAACTGGGGCTCTCCCGAGTGCCTTGGGGCCTCCCATCCCTGGGTTTCTGCCCAGAGCACACACCGCAGAGGGAGAGGCTCCTGTGAGCACTGCACAGGAGCCTGCCCCAGCCTGACCCCTGGCCCCCAGCCCGTACCTCTCTCCGGAATGAGCAGCTTGCAGGGCAGGGCCAGCGGCGTGATGGAGTGCTGGCACACCAGTGCAGTCAGACTCCCTGCGGAGGGGACAGAGGCCATGAATGCCAGCAGCTGTGCACCACTTCACCCCCCCACCCCCCGTGAAAACCAGTCGCTGCCAGGGTTATCCTTTACCTTCAGCTACCTGCACAGCCCGAGATGTGGGGCGCAGCACAGAACCTCAAAGAGGTGACAGATTCTGTCAGACAGCTAATTGGCCTGGGTATAGGTGCACACACCTGTCATCTCAGCACTCTGGGAGGCTGAGGCAGGAGGATCGCAGGTTTGAGCTCAGCGTGGGCAACCTGGCGACTTAGCAAGAACTTGCTTCAAAATTAACAAGGCCGGGGGCGGAGCTCGGCACAGTGGCCCTGGGTTCAATCCCCAGTAATGCAAAAAGAAAAGGAGAACAGACGGCTAAGGGCCAAGTGGTGGAAACTGCCAGCACAGACGCACCACACCTGAAGTACAGACAATAAACTGGGCGATCCCGGATCTGAAACTAAGGCTGAGATCAAGTACCCCAGCTTTCACCATGTGCGCCATCTCTTCAGGCTGCACCCCAAGTGCAGGGACGATGCCCCTTGAGTCTGTCCTGCAGCCCCCCAGCAACTACAAGCCCTGTATGACGTCACACTGGGGGCGACCTCTGCGGCCTCAGCTGCCTGAAACCAGCCCAGCTGTGGCTTCCGGCCTGGCTCTGCCCTTTGCACGTGCCCGGTTTGCAGCCAGCTTTGGAGGAGAAGCGCACTTCTGCTTTCTCCTAAAGCTGAGCGACCTCTACACGCAAAGTAGGAGCTGATCCCCAGGACAGTGCAATCTCCAGTCTCAGGGTTGCTGCCAGGGAATGTGGGTGCCCGGGGTGTATGACCTCAGGAGGAATGGGTGACAGACTCACCGAAGTAGGGTTCGTTGGAGCACCCTTTCAACCGCACGCCCTTCGGGGTGCACTCGATAAGAAAGTGCCGCACCAGTTCATTAGACAAATCCCCTGGCGAGGCAAAGAGCAAAAAGAAAGAAGAGTAATTTTTTAAAACTGACAACACAGCGGGTGAATGATTTGGGGTGGCCATGAATGTGTGTACCATCGCAGCCCAGATTGACATGTTTTGAAATTTTGTTGTAGTTTTCTTTCTTCCTTTTTAGCTTTGAAATGAAATGAATTTGTAGGAAAAAAATAAAAAGTAAATAAAAATAAAGAGAGCTTACACCAGACGTGGTGGTACACACCGTAAGGACAGCACTCGGGAGGCTGAGACAGGAGGATCACCATGAGTTCAAGCCTGGCGAGACCCTGCTGCTTTGGCAAACCCTCCTCTAAGAGTTTTCCTCAGACCGTGAAACCCAGAGGTGAACTCCAGAGGCTGGGTGAAGACAGACAGCCAGGGGCGACTCCCCCAAGGACGCCTCAGGCGTGGGACACCCTGACGCCTGATCCTCCCGTCCTCCACTGTGTCACTCACGCCCCCTGACAGAGCCCAATATGTGCCAGAGACAGGCTGCAACATCACAGCCCCTGTCTGTGTTTCCAAACAGACAACGTGTGCAGAAAGATCTTTGTATCCTCACTTGGACACACTCAGGGAGAACCAAGGAGCTGAGCGGCCCTCAGAGCCATTGCACCCCGCCAGCTCCGCTGTATTCCTCTCCCGTGTCTGCCACAGCCAGATGTCTGTCCTGAGCCATAGTCCTGCTGGCGCCTGTTTCCAGACAAAGCCTGGATGTCTCAAAACGCTCAAGCGTTCCCAGCTGGGGCACCGAGCTCATCCCTGGACTCCTCCCTGATGAGTTCAGCGCTGGTGAGGTGAGGCGTGGGACAGCACCTTTTGCTCAAGGCAGGTGCACCCCTGAAGGGGACAGTGGGACCCCACCTCTGTCCTTTCCTCTCACTTTCCTTTGCAGCCACAGCGAGAGCCCTCTGCTCGGCTGCTCAGTCCGGCCACGCTGTGCTGCCTGCCACCACCTGCCCCAAAGCAATGGAGCCAAGGACCACAGACTGAACCCTCGGAGACCACGTGTCAAAATGAACCTTGCTTCACAAGCTGATTATCTCTGCTCCCTGGGTTCACTCTCTAGTGCCACAAAAAACAAAAACAAACCAACAGAAAGAGTAGTGCATGATATACCACTTCTGATGTAGAAAAAAGGGAAAAAATGCACGTGTCTGACCCGGGCACACATCAGTCCACAGATACACGAGTGTGTGTTGTACCTGCATCCTGAAGGGAGGACGGTAGGTAGCGAGGCAGGCAGGGCTGGAAACAGAAGCGAGGTACCCTAGTAACCTGCTGTTCCATCTTCTTGACTTCTGCACAGTAGAATGCCTGCCTACTCATGAAAGTTAAGTTTGATTCTGCCACCTTGATTGGGTTTGGGAACTGCCCTGAGAATAGATAGGTGAGCCTTGGCCTGTGTCCGAGTATGTCAGAGGGGTGACTTGGGGTCCCTATTGTCCCTGGCCCCTCCATCTCCATACTGCTCCACTGTTCTCCTTCCAGGCCATGCCCCTCCACCATGATATACCTGCCTTAGATTCAGATGACCATGGACTGAATCTCCTGAGACCATGAGCCCCATTAAACCTCTCCTCTTTAAGGAGAGGTCCCAGCAAGAGGAAAGCCAACCAATGCCCTATTCAAATTTCAGAAAATAAAATTCATGAACAATTAACATTCTTTCCTGAACAGATGAATACTTAAGAAAATATTCCAAAAATAATAAATATCGACCGAGAAGAAAACCCACGAGGATTGGTGTAAGTCACCTACCACCTTCTTTCGGTCAGCATAAACCCACAGACCGCCACGGGCAAGCTGGACAGACAGACTTTGAGGACCTCACCTTTCTTGTTCAGCTGCAGGACGGAAGGAGGTGGGGTGGCAACCTTCATGGCCAGGCCGTAGGCACCCCGGAAGGAGTGACTGTCCCTCACGATGAAGGACCCGGGCTCTTTGTCTTTCAACATGGCGATGGCTGGTGGGAGGGGAGGAGGAAGGCGGACATTACTGTTACTCGTGCCCTTGCTCTGGTTTAACCAGGGCTGTGCCGAGCTCATGCAGAAACCTGAGATGGGATCGGGCACACAGCATGGGGCATTTTAGAGTGAGGTCTCTCTTCCTGTGCTCTTCTGCTTCCCAGCAGGGCTGGCAGCAGCAGGGAACTCCTCTCATTCTGGAGTGCTTGGACTTCCAGAATCTCAAGTCAAAGGGAGCCTCTGTTTTTACAGATCACCCCAGTTCAAGTGTGGGGAGACAGGGGTAGAGGGCGCCTCCTCTCCTGGCCCTGCAGAGGGACAAGAGGTCATAAGCGCTCACTGTGACGATGACACTACCATCTGACAGGGACGCTGACTGTCCTTCCAGGGAGGAGTGGTGACCTTAGAGTCCAGGCTGCGGGATCCCAGCATCCCTTGCATGCTCCAAGCATGCTGTGTGTCCCTACCAGGTGCCTAAAGCCCAGGGCAACCTTGATTCAGGCTTCAATGACCTCCAGAACCACAAGCCAAAACAGACCTTCCTTCTCTACAAGTAAATCAGTGCTTCACAAGGACAGCAACAGAAGTTGAGGCAGGCACAGGTGCCACCCTGCGCTGCGTGTCTCCCCTCCCAAGGGCCGGAACAGCCCTGCTCCCCACTCTGTCTGTCTGGGGCCCTGAAAGCGGGCTCTGAGTCTCCTCACGCTGTCTGGTGACACTGGAACGCTGGCCCTTGGCCCCTGGTGCCCAGAGATTCAGTGAGCAGCTTCCCACAAAGCCTGATTCACGGAAACCCAAGCCCTTCCAGGCCATGGGATTTTAATTTTTCTCCTTCCCCCCTCTCCCATTTAAAACAACAATGGCTTCATTGAGCTCATGAGAGAAGCACACATTCTTGCAATTTCTACTCTGTATATCCCGGGATGGCAGAATTCCAGTGAGGCAGGCAGGCTGCAGCACTGCCCGGCCACCCTGCTATTCACTGCTGGGTTTCCCGGGACAGGCGGCAAGGACAGAGGCTCGATTCTTTCCTGAGGGCCACGCGACCCATGCAGAGGGGTTGAGCCAGCTTCCTAAGGTCGTGGATGCTCACTTCTCTCACTGTTTCAAACCACCTGACTCAAGCTCTCCATGCAGCAGCCTGGGGTCCTTTCCAAGGATCCTGACCTGGGTCCCGTCTTGCTCCCACATCGAGCCCCCTCCCAGTGACTCCACACAGCCACCAGGTCTGCACTGCCAGAACGAGATCCAGGACAGGGGACAGCAGCCCTCCACAGCCAGGGAGCTCTGAGTCCCACCACAGGGACAGACGCACAGCCTCTGACGGCCACCACTGGGAGAGGACACCCACTCACACACTGGTAAAAGGGCACAGCTGGAATCCTCTGAGAAGCTGAGGCAGGAGGATGGCAAGCCTAGCACAGGCTCTCAGTGAGACCCAGACTCGAAGTAAAAGTTAAAAGGGCCAGGGATGTAGCTCAGTGCAAAAGCCCTGGGCTCAATCTCTGGTAGTGCCAGAGAGAGAGACAGAGACAAAGAGAGACAGAGATATAGAGAGAGACAGGTACAAAGACACAGAGACAGAAAGAGAGAGAGACACACAGAGACAGAAAAAGTGAGACAGAGAGAGAGAGGGAAGGAAGTGGCACACAACAGCTGCTCAGATACACTGGTGATTTCACAATGTTTAGTAAAACGGAAAAACCAGTGACCTCGAGTTTAATCATGACACCCCACATGCATGCAGGACATTATCGTGTTACACCCATAAATAGTACATCTATAGTGTAGTAATTAAAAAAGAAAAAAACAGGGGGGCTGGGGATTTAAAACAAATAAAATAAAATAAAAATTTAAAAAAAAGAGAAAAAAACAGCAAGGAGAAATAGCAAAAATGAATGATTTAAAATTCTCAAAGCCAGCCTGGCAGGAGACCGGAGCAGGGACCCTATGTGCTCAGACCCCGGGGCTTATGGGGAGCAGGGACGGGACCACAAAGCCTGGCAGTGACACCACTGCCTCACTTGACCCTTGTCCTGTCGCTTGATGGGTGGCACCCTGGTGGCTGGTGGGGCCGCCCTGCACCCTGGGAGGTTCTTGGGGGACGCCGCTCCTCACCGTCTCTCCGGCTAGCTCAGATGTTTTCCTACAAGAACTAACGGTCCGGCATCCCCACAGGAGGCGTGGCGTAAATCCCGGCCCAACCCAGCCTCAGCGGGCCACGGCCCTATGACATCGATCACCACAGCACACCCTCCCGCCAGGGCCCTGAGCCCAGAGAAGGACAACGCACGCCCCAGGATGCCTCGTTCTCCCACCTACCTTGGTCTCTGGAAATATCCGGCTTGTACCAGAACTTGGAAGTGTCCTGAACAAATTTGACAATGACAAGCTTGTCACTTGGACTATCTACAAAGCAGAATGAGAAGCAGTGACTGCTGAGGACATATTTACTGCAGCGCCTTGGTGAAATGTCCCTGCACCTCGAGCTCCCATGCCCGGGATAAGGGGTCAGATTGCCCTGTGTGGGGGTGGGGAACACCACATTTGCAGTGGCTGATTGGGAGAAGAAAGCTCCTGGTCTAGCTCCCCAAGAAACCAGATGGCAGGAACCCCAGTGGGAACTCCACAAGGCTCAGTTAACACGTAAGAAAGTCAGATGTGGTGGCACACTCCTGTAATCCCAGCCCTTGGGAAGCTGAGGCAGGAGGATCCACACAGTGAGTGCAAGGCCAGTTTGAATTTCATAGGGAGGTCTGGTCTCAAAAACACTGTGAAATCGCATCTTACTCTTACACACCTGAAATTGTCCACAATTAAACTCTAGGTTTAATCATGAACTGATTTCATTAGACAAGGAGGGACTTTCCAGGGTTAGGTCCTAGGAGTAAGGGAAAGCCTGGAGCCCTGGCAAATGCCCATGCCTTCCTCTCCTGGGGTGAAGTGAGGCTGGACGGAGGAAACCCAGGGAGGTGGGAGGCAGGCAGTAATGGGCACCCGGCGGGAGCCGACTCTGGGGTACAGTGTGTACAGCACACCTGGGCCTGCAGAGGGAGGCCTGCAGCCAGCCAGCTGGGAAGCAAAGCCGGGGCCCCCCTCCCCAGCATGTAGGCAGTGGGGCACCCACCCGGCAGGGGCGACACCTTCTCTGGTGGCCGTGAGAAGTCAGGCAGGACGCTGGGGAAGGGGATGCTGATGGTGCTGCCGCTGTGTGGGCTGGAGAAGCCACTCGACGAGGGTGACACAGAGCCCAGGGACCGGTCTCCCTCCGAGGCCCGCTTCTTCTCTGGCAGGGGCGGCTGCCCGGGCAGGGTGGGCCCATGAGCCTGCAGGCCGGGGCTGTGACGGCCGCTGTGTCCAGGCACCATGGCGAGGAAGTTGTGGGACAGGAAGCTGTGGGTGGCAGCCGCTGGTTCAGTCAGGGCTCCACCGGGGCCTGGGGGTGCCGTGTGGGCACTGGGCAGCAAGGAGCCCGGGTCCTCACTGGGCGCAAGGCCACTTGCCACTGGGGCTGCGGGGCTGAAGGTCAGGAAGGCCTGGCTGGTGCCTGGGGCAGAGAGCGTGCCTGGTGGCTCGGTCAGTGACAGCTCGTGGCCGTGGAAATTGGCCTGCAGGTCTGGGCCTGGGAAGCAGGGCGTCCCCGAGGCATCCTTGCCAGGGCCTGAGAATTCGCAGGCACCATGAGGACTTCCAGAGGGCCGGCTGCCGCCCCGCAAGGCCAGTGTGGATTTGGGGCTGCTTTCCAGCCACTGGCGGTCTGTGGAGGGCAGGCTGTTCAAAAACAGTGGAAAAGCAAATGAATATACAAACAGCTGTGTGCAGGAGTGCACACCTGTATTCCCACCACGCAGGAGTCTGAGGCCAGAGGATCACCATGAGTTCAAGACCAGCCTGGGCTAAACTATATAGCAAGATCTTGTCTCATACACAAAAACAAAACAAGACAATGAAAGTCATATAGCTACACACTGAAATCAGCAACTGTCTGTCACCAGATGGGAGACAGCTCCCCAAGGTCAACCTTGATCTGACACTAATTAAATGTAAAGTTCCTAAAATCAACAGCTGACACGGGTTAAGCTCTGCAGTCCTCTCTGGGCAGTACGATGACACGCTGCCCGGCCTGTCCCGGGTGTGACCACTCCTCTGCCCAGCAGATTACTGTGGTCCACACAGCCTGTCCATGCATCCCTCAGTAGCTCGCTGGGGCAACAGACTGCCTGTCTGATCCTAAGTCCCCGAATTTATTTAATGTCCCCAGAGCTCAAGCCTAGCAGTGCTGACCACTCAGGAGCTTCCTCCCCAGGAAAAGGCTCCTCCCTGGGACAGGTGTGGGACAGACATGGTGCCCATGGGCTTTGCTCTGTCCCTGGTCCTGGGCACCCACAGAGAGCTGAGCACACATCCCACAGATATGGCTGCCGGCCATGAGCAGAGCCAGCCCTGGACTGGGACCCACCAGCAAGTATTGGACCTGGGCCTGGGGGTGACAATGTCCCCAGCAGGGATCACTGCTAGGAGAGGAGGGGAGTGAAGAAGGCATCCAGGGAGCGCCAGGCACGGATGGACAGTGTAGAGGAAGTGACTTCCACTCTGGGCCAAGGGGGTACCCACTTCCAGATCACCCGGAGGCCAGAGTCTAGGTCTGTCCCTAGTTCCCTCCTGGGTGTCCTGTGCATGGTCCCCACACCTGCCCATGCCGGTGCACCTACTGTGCACGGACTGGGCACCCCCTGACCTCGGCCTCCAGGGTCTGCCCACTCAGCACCACACCCTGGACCCCTCCTCTCTTACCTCTCTCGGCGCTGGCCAGGGCCATTGCTGGAGACCGTGCAGGAAGACGCCAAGGCCTGCGGGAAGGTGGGCCTAGCGGTCACCTCAGCTGGCAGCATCGCTGCCTGGGGGCCCAGGGGACTCTCCGACATCCCCACAGTGTGGCTGGGAACCTCAGAGCAGCTGCGTGAATCTGCGGGGGACAGGAAGCAGGGGCTCTGACCACCCGAGGCGCAGTTCCGATTGTCCTCCTTCCCGGGTTTTACGTGAGCAGAGCCGACGTCTCTGCCTCTGGAGGTCATGGTGCTGCCAGGCACAGGAGCTCAGTCCCTTGTCCCTGCGCCCCAAAGGCAGGGCAGCTTACTCAAGTCCCGTGCCCTCATGTACCTGGTCCATGGGCAGGGCCTGCTGGGCTGGTGCCACGGCCAGCCCGAGGGCTCCACCCCACGTGCCACATCTCTGTGCCACAAAATCAAATATTTAACCAAGCAGAGTTATCGAGTCACACCAGGAAACTCCAGTGCAAACCCAGGAGTGGGGAGCTAGGTAACCCAAACCAGCGAACACGTTGTAAACCTTGGAGGTAATCGACAGACAGGGAAATAGCATCTGAGGAAACAGGAGGGGAAGGAGTGACTCACATTCTGTCAGAGAGTAGAGTCGAAAGAATAATTAAACTGAAAGCCTAGAGCTGAAGACAGGTGGGGGCCGTACCCCGGGTCTGGACACTGCGGAGGAGGTGTGAGGTCGGTGGGGGGATTGCAACCCAAGCCCCTGGAGAAAGGGGTACGCACCATGGAGGAGGCTGGGGGACACAACTGCCCCAGAAACCCTGTGACTGAAGCCCAGGAAGGGGAGACAGGGAAGGAAGCAGAAGCAGCACTGGAGAAGAAATCTGCTCAGAATGGATCTGAATTTCCCAAAACACACAGAGGCAATCAAAGCTGGACACAGTGACACTCACGGTCATCCCAGCACTCGGGGCGGCTAAGACAGGGAGACAGCAAATTCAAGCCCAACCTGGGCAACTTAGTGAGACCCTGTCTCTGGATAAAAACATGTGCCTGGGGTACAGCTCAGCGGTGGAGCACCTGCCTGAGTTCGATTCTTGGTACCAAATAAGGAAACAAACAAAAAGGGTATGAGATTAGCTTGGAGCGAAGGTCCTGGGTTCCATCCCCAGTACCACAGGAAAAAAGGAGAATCCAAACCCCCAGTTTAAAAACAAATAAACAAAAAATCCCAAAACAGGAAAAATGAAATCCACGCATCAATACTGAAAAGCACAAAAACTGTGTGACAGTCAAGGAAAAGTCTTAAGCACTGAGACTTGTCCACCTGGGGTCAAAGCCAGGAGGCTGGCTTTAGAGCATGCTTTGGTGTTTCCCTCCTACAAAATCAGGGAAGCTGGGTTCTGACAGACCCGATGGGCAGCACCGGCTTGATGAGCACCCTGAGGTCAGCACTGGCCTCTGCTGCTGTGATGCTGCACCAAGCTGGACCCTTGAGGGTTCCAGACCACGCACACTGAATCAATCAACCAGTCTGCAAAGGCGTGGGGGTGCGGGGAAAGCAAAGCTCAGGCCTGATGTGAAGAAGCCCTGAGACTCACAGCAGATGGGGTGGCCGGGTGGACTGAATGCGCTGGGGACCCCACATAAACTGGGCGCTTCCCCTACAACTGGCTGCTCCTGGAGGCCACAGCTCAGCACAGAGGCCACCTGGGTGCTCTCTGTCCCTGGCTCTGATCGCCAGCACAGCAGGCATCTGAGGACCAGAGCCAAGATTCAGAAGCCCCAAACCCACACTGTGGCGCCAGGGATCCTCCTCACAGAAGCGGGGGGTGGGGGGGGTGGTAGTTCCCCCTCACTCCGCATGCTCAAGTTCGCTGTCCCAGAAAGGGTGGGCACATTTCCCATGAAAGTGGCTTTGTTCTGGGTTCCCTCAGTTCCTTGGGCTCCCCTCCAGGGTCCCCAGCCTGTTCTGGGAAAGGGACCAAATACTTTCCTGGAGCAGGAGCCATCCCAGAACCAGGTCCTCCCGGGACATTTCTGAGTTCTGGGTCCCACAGGTGCGTGGAGACCAAGTCACTCATACAAGGTCACAGGGATGAATTGGGCTGGGACTCTCTGGCCTGCAGAGTTGTCCCCAAGTCCAGGGCCAAAACTGCAGGCAGACAGGGGCGCTGGTGGACGTGTCCCTCACTTGCGTAACAGGCTGGGACCCAATGCTGCCTGCAGGACCCTAGGGGCCAGGCCACCCATCCCAGGGCCCTGTACACTGTCCCTGCTATGAATTCACAGCATGGACCAGAAGTGCCCTGAAAATCTCATCCCAAGCCCAGAGGGGCAAGGCACAGGCTACAACCCATCCTGCACGAGCCAGGCCCCATCCTACACATCAGCCCTGTTTAACTGGGCCTGGTGCCACAGCCCTGTGATCCCAGTACTCGGGAGGCTGAGGCAGGAGGATTGCAGCAAATCTGAGGTCAGCCTGGGCTACACTGTCTCCAACACCAAAAAAGCGCTGAGTTTTCTTTTCTGCTGGAATGGACCCCAGGCCTCCTTGTGAACACAGGGCCAGCACTCCCCAGGAAGCTGTGTCCAGCTCTGAGCCTGAGAGTCACAGCTGCACTGTAGGTGATATGTCAAGGAAGCTGTGGCCCTGAGCTTGTCCTACAGTGGGCCTGCAGCTTCCAGGTCCTCAAGGAGCTGGGACTGACCCTGGGTGAGCATGGTGAGGACACAGAAGGAACAGGACGTCTGTCATGTGGCGGGGGCATCAGGGCACATGAACTCGTTAGCCATCTTCAGGCTGGGAAGGACAGGGAGGACTCCTCCGCCCTGTGCCGCAGTGGCCTCTGTCTCTGCTTCAGGCCCCTCGCTCTTCTTACACCCCTTGCTGGGGCCAAGCAGCATTCTCCTGTATTCGCAGTGCTCTGGGAGGCTGAAGCAGGAGGGCTGCAAGCTCAAGGTCAGCCTCAGCACTGCTATTTAAGAGTGCTTCTCCTCTAAGAAGTTAGGGCCCCGCTATCCCAGTCAGATCGTGGCCAGGACAGAGCCTCTTCTGCGTCCAGCCTCGATTCCTTATCTCCCCTCTGCTGCTGAAGCCCAGGGCAGGAGACCCCATGTCATTGGTGCTTAGGAGCCCAGTGTCCCCAGTGCCCCTTGGGGTCACTGCCCTTCCCAGCTGGGCGTCCCCTGGGAGCTCAGGAATGCCTGCCTCTCCTCTCTGCTTCCTCTTCCTCCACTTCCTGCACCCAGGGCCGGGTGAGCAGGGCCCCTGGCTTCTCTCCAAAGCATCTATTTTTATGCTTTCTCTCAAGCTGTGGCGGGAGGGTCCGTGGGAAGCTGGACACCCCTCGCCCGCTGCTCCCGACCTGACCTGAGGTTCACAGGGAGAAACGAAAGGAGCCTGAAAGGAGCCTGCGCTCCCAGCCCCAGGCTCGCTGTCCTGCAGGGCAGGGCTAGGGCGAGGACATGGAGGAGCAGAGACAGGGAGCCACCGGACAGCTCCCCAGCCTCCATGGGCATTCACCATTCATCCGTCCCCCTCTCACCTGCCCACCTGCCATCGTCCCGCCTCCCAGCCCACACATAGGACCAGGGCTGCTAGGGGTGACCAGGCCCCTGCCTCCACTGGAAGGCATCTGGGAAGATGGCCACAAGGACCTCCTATCCCCTTGCTCTGCTGTTTCTGGGTGTGAAACTCGGGGCTGCTGGGGGACTGGGTGTTGTCTCTGGGTCCTGATTGGGCACATGGGCAGCCCTGGGGCTCAGGGTCTTCACCCACAAAATGTCATTGCCTGAGAGCAATTGAGGGGTTACCTAAGCTCAACTCAGCCTAGAGCTTTGTATTTTATTTTATTTTATTTTTATGGTGCTGGGATGGAACTCAAGGCTTTAAACACAGCAAAATGTTGTACAGGAAGTTTGACAGTGAGATTTTTTTTTTTTTGGAGACAGGGTCTCACTCTAATTCATGCTGGCTTTGAACTCACAGCAATTCTAGCTCAGCCTCCAGAATGCTGAGATTCCAGGTGTGCACACCACGCCTGGCTAGTGGTGACATTTTTAAGCAAAGTATCCTGATTTTCAATTCTTATTTGTCTGTATCGGGCCATTTAATCAACCTTCCTAAAAGCAAAGGGAAACCAAGCAGAGACCCAGGTACAGTGATAGATAATTAGTAAAGCCCCAGCTTGGAAAAAGCAGCCTGAGCATCTCTGCACAAGCAGCAATGCGCACACCTTGAACCCGCAAACCATGCCTCCTGGAGAGCGTACACGGTCAGTTCCGGGTCTGCGCCTGGCCTTTCCTCGACCCAAGGTCATCCTGTGGAAAACTGAGGCTTGGACCTCTGGGAACAACATCCTCATCCCTGCAGCAGAGCCAGCCACAGAGCCCCCTCTGCCCAGGGCCCTCGGACCCGTCAGACATGCTCTCACACCTAGTGGCCTCACCCCTTTCCCCAAACCTGGCACCACAGTCTTGGGGTAAATCGGGGCCAGAGGGACCCAGAAACACAGATGACATGGCTCACTGCCCCATGCTAGGGCTCTGCTGTCTGCCACCCTTTGAAGGCATCCGTCCCACTTAATGAACCAGGAGGAAGATGCACCCCATACCGCTTCCTAGGTGCTTGGGTCCTGAGACACCCCCACTCCCTCACTAGGTGTGTCCCCCGGCCAGAAGCCACGGTACCTTCTCTCTTGCGCCAAACTCCTGGAGAAACTGCTCTCCTTCAGGGCAGGACAAGGGCCAGGGCTGCGCTTGGCCATGGCGTTCTGAGGCAGGACCAATAGCCCGACGGCTGCACCTGGGGGCCATGGACTAGGGGGACCCCATACCCTGCATCGAGACACTGGGGTGTGAATCTCGCACCCACAGTGGGCACAGGAAATGCCTGGCACCTCAGGAGCCCCTGGCTGTGACCCTGAGACTACATCTACTGAAGGAGACTTGAGAGATCCAAGGGAGACGTCTCAGGGAGCCCCACCTCCCAGAACCCTGGGGCGCTTGGGGTCGGCACCTACTGCACCTCTGCCCAGCTCCTTTCCACCCTGGGAGTGACAGCGGTCACAGCCAGGCGCTGCCCACTTAAGTGGAGTCTGCAGCTTCCCTGCTCCAGGTTAAATCTGCTTAACAACACCTGTGCTCCTGCCGCAGAGCCACCACTGCTGAGGGAGCTCAG